TAATGGAGTGGGAGCTGGGGTAGTGGAGGAATGGGAACTGTAGTGCTTGAAGGGGAACAACAATGCGCAGGAAAGAAGTTAATTATTGTAAATTATTGCACCAGGTCGGCTGGACTTGAATTACAGGGAGAACTTGAGACCGCCAGACACCTGAAAGCTGCACACACGCAGGGGAAACAAATGGTGTTTCGTGAAAGCTCTTAGGATACAGGTATATATAGAACGCCTGTTACCACAGGTACTCACTATGTTGAGACTGTGCTGAAGAGAGATGCAGAGAGGAAAGCTGCAATGGAAATATATTCATGGTAGTAGTGATCAAGGCCGTTAATGGATGAATAATGAATGATTAAAGCAAATAAACAGGTTCATGAATTAAAAAAAAAGTCCTAGCTGAAAAATGTATTATATTTACATTTAAGAGTTATTTATAAACCGACTCATTCATTCCACTCTCGCTGGCTGGTGAAGGGCTAGAAATTATGTGGTATATTTCAATGTCATTTCTTCACACAACCTGGTTATCACTGAAACGATCGTGTGATATAATCATATCTGGAGCTTCGACACTTTACATTAAGCACTCGTCCAACTGTCAGCAACTAGTTTACACCTAGGTATGTCCTACCTTCCACAAGACAACGTAATGAAATACGACATCACACACAGAGATCACACTAACGTGATGCATCAAATGAACAAATTTTAACCCTGTCGTAGCTCAGTCGATTAAGACAGTGTCTGGGATGCTCCCGGACGCAGGTTCGAATCCTCGTCACGGCCCTTGTGGATTTGTTCATTGGGAAATACGAATTTACCCAGTTCCCTAAACAGGATAAACACCTCATCAGTCTTATCACCTTCATGGAATTAATACTGCTATCTGCGAATTTGAATTCACTTTCCCTCTGCCTCCTAGGATGCTAAGGTCTACTTTAGTGAGAGAAAAAAACGCATCCTATAACGTCACGTGTTTGGCAGATCTCCAACGTCGACGGAATCGGTCAAGAGGACAAAATCACGCATGAAAAACGCCAAGAAAATATGAATGAAGGTAACTGCAGAAGGCCTATTGGCCCATACGAGGCAGCTCCCATTTATATCCACCAAACAACATTATTAATTCAGTTTTCTTGTGCCGACCACCTGAGCCTGCGTATGTTTTTATTATTTTTTTGTTAGTTTAATGACCTTAAGTGTCATTTATTTGTCATGAATTTACCATATTAACATAGACTCCCTCCCTCTTATTTGGCGGGAAAACAGTGACGTCATCGCCTCCATTTTACGAGAATTTCACGTATCTTCACAAATCACAAGACAAAATGTTATAATCTTCCCAAAATTACTCATTTTTAATTAACAGTAATGTTTCTTGATTCGAAAATTGTTAACCAGATTCAAGATAATTATTCCTAGAGTTGTAATCTATTGTACGATGACTTGCCGTATGCCATGTAATACAATGACATACTAGACGATGACATCTAGTATGACGTCATCGCGCATGCGCAACGTTATGGGAGAAGACATACCAGTCACCGTATCATGATTAAATCAACTACATAGCACTGTATTGTCTGTGATTTCAATAGTTACTTTGTAATTTTATCTCGTGTCGTTTGTTAATTCCAAATGTATCTGCCCGAAATGAGAACATGGAATAATTATTGTTATTTCTACTGCTAAGTGATATGACGTTGATGCGCATGCGCTCTTAGCATTTATTTGATTAGAACATGCAATAAGAATTGAGCAATTCTGATGGTTGTTATATTCTATCAAATTCATTTAATGTTGAATCAAGCGTTTTTTAAATGCTTATGTTGGAGAAATTATTATTCATTGTATAGTCTTTCTACATGAAACGTATAGGCCTAATCTCATTAGTGTAAAAGGCGAAAGATTTATGTGTTTTGAAGGGAAACCATTCTAAAAATATATAGAAGAAATGTATTTGTTTATCAATCAGAATGTTCGGTAATATGTTTATTGTTTGTGATGTGTCTATATATCTATGAACATATCTATGTTGTACTGTACAGGGTAAGAATAGCTTGAGCTACATCATCCCTTTGTGTGTATTTTACCTCAATAAACTTATTTCCATTTCAATTTCAATTTCAATTCAATAGTGTAAAAAAATCACAACCAAAATCATTAAATCACATTAAAACATATGTAATGTTTTCAATATCATTAAAAACATTGTATGTTTTAACAAAAAAAAACATCTTTTGTGCTTCGATGTTTTTTTTTCGCAAGCATTGCATATTATCTTTATGTATTTTAAGAAATGTTTAAAAAGAAAAGTCTCAATATTCACCTATATTTTAATCCAATGTCATCCCACCTACCGCTGGAGTTGAATTTCCTTCCAACAGCTGCCATTGCTAAGGGCTCAAAGTTGCCAGATTGACAGATGTCAAGTCCTGCCATAATCCTTTATAATCAACTTTTCGAAAACCCGAAAACCTGCGACGCTGACAGTAGCTTTCACTTGCACAATTTATTCACGCTATTTTCAACATAATTATTTTAAATTATATTAATATGTTACTTGTGCTACTTAAATAGCACTCAAAATAATATTTGCTCAGGCTGGCTCTTTAATTTACACTTTGAGAAAGCTGTTTTTATATATATCCAAAACAGATGCCAGCTCAGCATTTTCTGCTTTATTCGTCCAGTTTAGTTCACTAGAATGTTAGTTATATAGAATGCAGCTGTTATTTCACCCCACCCTTGACAGATGCACAAACTCATTGCATGTCATATCTGACACATAATTTGTCTTGATTTTCGACAAATAACACTGGCATTGAAATACATGTTTCTAGGGCAGTCAACCTATATCATATATATTATATATATTTGTGCCACCTGTGGTGCGATTGTAGGGGCCAATAGCCTCGGAGAAGAGAATAAAGAGTATTCAGACGAAAAACTCGACCGTTTGACTCTCAATACATATGAGTATTCGCTTCTTCTACCATCTCGTTTTTTCATTATTCATGTTATATAAAAATAATTTCAGTATTGTTGTGAATCTCTTCAGTGAAGTCAAATCAAATCAAATGTTTATTCAGGTAAAAATACAAACATACAAGATGAGTTACAAAAGTGATGTTGGATTTCCAGATAGAGCAAGTACATACAATGTCTAAAGCCACTAATACGTACAGCGTTTCGGGCAATCCTTGGCATGTAATACTTAACTTAGACACAAGAGCTGCTAGAGCATCATATTCACGATGGAAATATCACTAGGCGGTAATACACATGAAGTATTAATAGACTCCAATACGCATGAAGGACGTATTGCTGGACCGTACTCTGCTTCCAGACGAGAGTCCACTCCTGAACAACCTACATCTGACCTGGAAGCTGAGTGAGGAAATCAGAGGGAGAGAAAGACAGGTGGAGAGATTGCGTCGAGAGAGGTAAGTTGACAGGGGGAATTAAGAGGCGGAAAATGAATCAGGAAACTTGCTGAAGTAAGGGGAAATTGATGAGGAAGCGTGGATCGAAAGTTAATTGTTGAGGCAATTGAGGAGAGGAAGAAACACGGGAATCATATATCTCCACTCCTAAAGAAAAAGAAATCTGGAAAAATTATTCCTAAACTGGAGCTGTCAGTTAACAGTTAATCTCAAGTGGGTTTAGTCGTTGCAGACTGGAACTACCGGTCACTCACAAGCTAACTATTTTAGGGCTTGTTATGCAGGAATATGGTGCACAGGAGCATATTGTGCAGGAACGTACAGTGTAGGGTATTGCACATGAACTTGTTGTACAGGAGCATACTGCTCATAATCCTGGTGCGTAGGATCATACTGTTCTCAGACATATTTCACAGGAATATGTTATGCTAAGCATGTCATGAGGAGCATGGTTCATAAGAGTATTGACATACTGGAGTAAGTTGCACGTAATTAATTCATGGCATCGAGTTTCATGTTTTCAAAGACCAGACACACAAGCTGTTGTTCACGATCTTACGTTCCCGCAAGCACAGCTCGGTGAGTACGTTCTTATGTTCCCCCAAGCACAACTAGGTGAGTACGTTCTTATGTTCCCCCAAGCACAACTAGGTGAGTACGTTCTTATGTTCCCCCAAGCACAACTAGGTGAGTACGTTCTTATGTTCCCCCAAGCACAACTAGGTGAGTACGTTCTTATGTTCTTTCAAGCACAACTAGGTGAGTACGTTCTTATGTTCCCCCAAGCACAAATAGGTGAGTACGTTCTTATGGTCCCCCAAGCACAAATAGGTGAGTACGTTCTTATGTTCTCCCAAGCACAACTAGGTGAGTACGTTCTTATGTTCCCCCAAGCACAACTAGGTGAGTACGTTCTTATGGTCCCCCAAGCACAACTAGGTGAGTAAGTTCTTATGTTCCCGCAAGCACAGCTAGGTGAGTACGTTCTTATGTTCCCCCAAGCACAACTAGGTGAGTACGCTCCTATGTCATTTCTTTGCGACGTCTTGTGCTGTCCCGAGATGCTAACTACTTATATAGGTTGAGTTACGAATCAGTCAATCGAGCCAAAGATGAGGGCGATTATAACAAGTCTTTGTTCGACTCCATAAAAGGAATAGGAGTCGGTAGGTTGTCGAAGAACACATTTTCTCCTTAATATAAAAGTGTTCCATATTGGGCAGTTGAAGTACGTAAGCTGTTCATGGGGCGAAGAGAATCGAAAGTCGGAAAAACATCAGCTGATTTGAGGGACAATACGCATCAGACGATCAAGATTTAGAACAAATCAGCTGATATAAGGAGGAAGTGCATCGTCACATCAAGAAAGCATCAGCTCACCGAAGGATAAAAGGAATCAGCTGATCAAATAACGAAAAATCAGCTGATCGAAGAACGCAAGGTATCAGCTGATCGAATCACAACACCACCACCTTCACAACACGCTGAGGTCTTGAAATACAGTCCTCAGCGCCGGAGAAAAACCACCCCACTTGCCTTTTTTCCCAGTCACACCGCATGGATCATCCCCCAAGCGGTGGTTCCAGGCACGACCAACCAGCGTTATCGGTAGCTGGATATGTGGCAGCTACCGATAACGCTGCCACATATCCAGCTACCAGTGTGGTAGCACTGTGGCAGTGTGCTCCTAATCGTCCACCAGTCCTGTGTCCTTTCCTGCCTTCTTTCTCAGAGGCCACGCTGGCTCTAAGGGGTATCGCTAATAAGAAAAAAAATACAGCAATTTGCCACATAATCTGCCATAATTCATGTGGCGTCGAGGTAATGAGGTCATTGGAGCAAACTTTCTTCTAACTCGAAGGGTAGATTTACTCTATCAGCTCCTCTTCCCAATACTGGTCGTGAAACCAGAGGGAATATAGCTTTGCTGGTCCAACAAGATTACAAGGCTTATTTCTTGAAGGAATTATCTTAGTCTGTCTTTTATCCTTTTGTCAGAGGAACTCGCAAGCCAGTTATGGTCACAGGACATCGCAAACCCTAAGAGACACATTAAAAAATCCCATCTTCAAGAATTGATCCAAGCAATCTTGTTGGGGCACAGAGACTTGTTTCCTCTGGTATGACGTCCAGTCTTAGGGAGATGCGCCGGTATAGTGAACCTAGACTTCAAGTTAGAGGAAAGTTTTCTTGAATGACCTCCTGGTCGTTGCACTACTCACTGCTCCAACACTTAGAGATAGCGTAAGAAGAGGGTAAAGGAGAGTGAGCATCACAATGATAAACACTGGATAAAGCCAACACTACAATGTTGTTTTAAGGAATTAAAGAAGATTTCCACTGCCCCAAACAAAACACCCCAGAAACATTTTAATAATCCTCTATGAAGATCTCTGGGATTTAAATAGCATCGACTCGCCAGCCTCTAGAGTTACGTTCACTGGCTGGCTCCTCTTTTACACCTGACGGTCTCACGAACTCTTTTATATGGAAAATACGTTATATCCCCGAGGTTGAAGAAGGAATTGGCCACGACCACACCGATAGACCACCTATGATTCAAGATCCAAACAGGATACATCCATGTAAGTCCTCTACAACCTTCTATACCTCCCCCTCTCCTCTACCTCTCCTCGGTACCGGCACCCACCCCCCTGCCCTGGCCCACTCTCTCTCCTTTCCCTCTCTCTCCTTTCCCTCTCTCGGTCCCTAATCGTTATGTAAGGTGTCTGTTCATAACGTGTACACATTATGGACATACACTAGATGCTAGTGTCTGTTCATAAAGAGAGAGACGGTTCTCCCAACATCAAGACCAGCCTCGGAAGAACGTAGAACAGGAGGAGAAACACCATAAGAATCAACGTCTCTACCACCGTTCTTCCCAACAGCTTAAGAATAAAACAAAATAAAACACAGTGACAAAATCTTAATAACGACCTCCCCACGAGTGTTTGTCTCCTCCGATCAGTTTTCAAATGCTTATGCACATAAATTTCTAAACACATTTAATTGAGAGGAAGCAACATTTGCTTCACTTGAACCATCAGAGCCTCGAACACAGGACCACAAAAGTTGAAGCTAATAGCTCTACCCACTATTGTTCTACTACCCACTATTGGGTGTTCAATAGTATACTATTGAACACCCACAGTTAGGAAGTATCGAGAGACACGTAACTGGTATCCAATTGGGACTTTAAGCCTTCCCCGGGGTACCACTTGAGTGTAAAGAGAAAGTGGTGAAAGGGGGGGGGGGTTAAGGGTATGGGGTGAGGGAAGGGGGATAGAGAGACTAGCGCTGCACCCTCAAAGGGTTCCGAGGATTCCACTGATGCCTAACCCGGGTTTCACTCAATTCCCACATGCACTCGGACAATCAGCAGTACTACCTCTGACTCTTTTAATACACAAATAAATCACATTACCGTGATATATCAAATAACAAATCCGCAGGAGCCTTCTCGAGGGTTCGAACCTATTTGTTCGAAATTGTTTGAATTCCCCCCGGAATCGGGGGAAAAAAATAACATTATTTTGCAATTCTTTTTTTTCTCCATTAATATTCTTTTACTATTACAGTTGTTACTGTAGAAAATAAAAATATTTACCGCAGTATTAGCAATATTATTAAAAAACTCATTGTATTAACAAGAGAAACTTTAAAATTTTATTAAATGCACGTTAGTTTGACCCTTGTAAACGTATGGGAAGGTAATGGAACAAGCAATGGAACAGGCAGATGGGTGCAGACAGGTAAGGTGACAAGCACTGAAGGAAACAGACAGAGAGAGAAGTAGAGGGAAAAGAACGAGGCTGAACTGGAAGAAAACCAGAGCGGAATGCGATGCGGAACGTGTCGTAGCTTAGAACGCGGAGTAAGGGGTAAGGGGAGAGGGAAGAGTGTAAGGGGTAAGGGGAGAGGGAAGGGGTAAGGGGAGAGGGGAAGGGGGTTTGGGTAGTCTACCACATCTCCAACACAAGCCCCTGGATTCCGGGTATCTGGAACGGGGATTATAGGCGGGCGCTCGAAGACTTACCCACTGGAGTCCCTGTTGGCCTCTTGTGTTGTTCCCCGCATGCTGAGCACCTCCGTCTCTTGGGATTGTTGTCCATGGACAGTTTTAGCGTCCATGGACAGAAATGTTCAGATATATGTAGAAGATTTGCTTCTATGAAGCACCTGTCTATTTGTTAAAAAAAAAGTTGTTTTTATTCAAGCAAAGACTATCCGTCTCCTAACAAGGCTGCCCCTCTCCTAATAAAGACTGTCCATCTCTTAACAGAGGTTGTCCCTCTTCTAATAAAAGACAAAACTCGGCTCTAGTCTTGGAGCCAGATTCACGAAGCAGTTACGCAAGCACTTACGAACGTGTACATCTTTCCTCAATGCTTGACGGCTTTGGTTACATTTATTAAACAGTTTACAAGCATGAAAACTTCCCAATCAACTGTTGTTATTGTTATAAACAGCTTCCTGGTGCTTCGGGGCTCCTTAACTGTTTAATAATTGTAAAAAAAGCCGCCAAAGATTGAGGAAAGATGTACAAATTCGTAGGTGTTTGCTTAACTGTTTCGTGAATCTCTTCCCTGAGCCAGCATCTGGCCGTGTAAGACGAACTTGGCTGTACTCCCCATATAATAAATATCAGGAGTACCGAGATCCTAAATACACTAATCAACTTTCTCCTAATTTCATGTCTCGCAGAGGCAATAATGATTTGTTAAAATATCAATTGAGAGACTCGTTTGCAATCAGTTGTTAACGCAGTCGGCTCACAACCAAATGGTTCCGGATTCCATTCTTTAGTAGAGCGAGACGTTTGGGGCAGTTTCTTACACCTGATTTCCCTGTTAACTAAACTGTTAATAAGTACATGGGAGTTACTCGACTGTTGTGGGTCGCACCCTGTATAAGTTAGTCGCTCGTCTAATTATGATACGAATAACAAGCTTTCTGTTCCCTAGAATAGGAAACTATGCATACTGAAAGCAAATTGTTGTGACATCTTTTGCAGTTTGACTCGTGTTTTGATCTTAAATACTCACAAAGACTTCCGCAAATACTGAAAAAACATAGAAATACCAGTTTTTCTTAAAAGAAAAGTCCCAATAAGAAGACATTTTCTCTCCCCCTCCTCCCGGGTTCACAAGACCACGGGTCGCCTCCCACAATTCCACCATGGCAGTTTAATAGGGGAAAAGTGCTTCCTCTCGACATTTATTGTCAAAGTTTGACTCTTCCGGACAGAGCGGGCGAACATCTTAAAGCTAATATCCGATTTAAGCCTTGGACTGATGGGGGGGAAGAGGGGTAGGGTGGATACCAACCGGTGGACGTTGACATTAATTATATCAAAGGGAATTTAAGTTATCAAATTTAGTAGCTTATATTGTCTTACGAAGGAGATTAAACTCTATTGTGGTTTAATTTGAACTGTAAGAAAGTAAGTTAATAAAAGTTGGAGCTCAGTCATTATATTTAGAGTAACTGTTTGTCAAACTATTATTATTAAAGTTCTCGCGAAACACACCAAGCAATAAAAAAAATTGCCAGGTCTCTGCCTCCCAAAAGTAACTCTATTCAGAACTTTTTGTAAGTCTTAATTAACGTCTGGCAGATAAGGTAAACCTAATAATATAGCCACAACCTTGAAGATCATCCAAGCAAAAACCAAAAACAAAAACTTAAAGTTTTGAGTATAAAATTTATAAAATATAATCATGTTACATCTTTCTCATACACCGTCTTACGTATAATAATAAGTATAATGATTTCAGTATTATTGGTGCAAGTCTTCGACTATACCTGATATTGAAGTATGAATCTGTCGTTACCCACCTTTTGATTAAATGTGGATATGGTACCAAGCATACACCGACACCATCAACAGTGACGCCATCAACAGTGACGCCATCAACAGTGACACCATCAACAGTGACACCATCAACAGTGACACCATCAACAGTGACACCATCAACAGTGACACCATCAATAGTGACACCATCAACAGTGACACCATCAACAGTGACACCATCAACAGTGACACCATCAACACAGACGCCATCAACGCCATAAACACCGAAACTATTAACTCCATTAAAACCCCTAACATCACCATCAACATGACGCCAACAACACCATATATCATCAACACCACCATACCAACACCACCCCCTCCACTCCACGTTCCGACAACAACACATCGCGTGCAGAGGATGTGCTTGAAGGCTATTGTTATTCCTGTCTGTAGTGAGCCACAGACTAGTCCAATTTGTTCTGTGTTACAATCTGTGACAGATTTATAGCTGGATTTACATTCTACTTGTATCTGTAGCTGACTGTGGCACTTTTATTAATGCTCTCTCTCTCTCTCTCTCTCTCTCTCTCTCTCTCTCTCTCTCTCTCTCTCTCTCTCTCTCTCTCTCTCTCTCTCTCTCTCTCTCCAAGGGTAAAATGTATCTGTACGTTCATAAATAGATGCTCCTCTAAAACTTTTTGACGTTAACATTAATTGGTTAATATCGAAGTCAAATTAGAAATCCAGTCAATAAGTTCGTGCAAGTGAGACAGAGAATTTCACTAGCAAGACACGGCAAGTACGACACTAAAGTTAATCTCTTCACTACCTTTATAACGTCGCTCAGTATCAATTATGGCTCAACGTAATAGAACAAACAAAACCTTTTGAAACAACCACGTTTAAAGAAGTTTAACAGTTTACGGGGCTGGACTTTGAGCAGTCCAATATTCTCTGAAGAGTCGTGAAAGAGGAGACTTTATATATTATATTTAGGGTTACACGTTTTATTCGTGATTGTAACACACACTTACGATTCCAGTTGTTCTCCATTGCATATTCACCATAGTTTGACGTTGCTTGGAAATGAAAAGGCTGCGTTTCTCTGCTGTAATTGTAAACTTTAAGTTTTTTTACGGCTGTAAACCTGTTCACTACAGCCACAACTGCTTCATACAATCATAGCTGCTTCATACAATTAAGTACAGCAGTAAAAAACTTAAAGCTTACAATTACAGCGGGAAAACGCTGCTTATTTTGTCAGTGATATTATTCGAAAATTTATCCAGGAAAATATCCGCACGATCTTGAAGAAGCGGCATAAGACAAAATTAATCTACAGCTTCACGAATCTGTCTTACGCAGCCATTAGCAAAGGGGATAAGAAACAATGCGTTTAGACCATCTGATCAAGAAAGAACCCGTAACAACGAGAAAAAATATACAATGGAAAATACAGTTGTATTTTATATATAAACAACTGTATAGTTTATATACAGTTGTTCTCTTTGGAAAAAGAGTACAACTGATATAAATGGGATCTGCTTACCACTATTCGTGGTTTCTCCCTCTTACAGTGTTCCTTCAGACTTATAGACATATATCCGCATGTCTCGACGTGAGGAGAGGAGACGGAGGGCAATGTTGCATGTGTCATGCCTAATTGCAAGAGTTGCAAGACAAAATTCCTTAAATGTTTAGTTCTTTGACATTATTTTCTTATATTTTTATGAATGTTTACATTTAATCAAACAACATAAGCAAGCTTTTTATGTCTTAAGTAAGCATATTATTAAAAATTTAATGCATACAATTTATTAGTTATATTAAAATCTAACTAATATTGATAGAGCTATAATAAAACAAACAGAACTTTCTGGCTGTTAGGCAGAACGGTCCATGCTTACTAGGGAAAGTAGTGTGGTTCTGGTTATTAGGTACGACATACCTGTCGTCCCAGGAACACCCGACAACCAACCATTTGAGCATATGGTGGACTGTCGTCTGGTGCTTCTAAAGTGGAATGAGCAGAAGATAAATAGTCCAAAAAGAAAGGGAACAATAGAAGACAAGGCGAGATAATTATCAAGGGAAAGCACTAGACCATTATGGCTGTATAGAACTTGGAAGAGATGTGAGGGTAAGGATTTAGGATAGGACAAAGGAAAGAAGCATTAAAATCATTCTATTCAGCAGGGTTCTAGGAGACTCGAACCGTAGACCCCGTGAGTGTGAGGCCAAAGCTCTACTGACCGAGCTATTGAGTAGTCTTAATAGATGAATAACCCATGTGAATGGAATGTGTATTTCCAAGGAAGTGTGGATGACAATTCATTAAATATCACTTTTGTTTTCAACTGTATACATAAACAGAATTATACACAAGATAAATTATTACTAAATATTCAAATATACAAAAGCAATTACAAAGATAAACTCGTATTTCATTCACTTGCTATATTGTTACAAAGTACAGATTAGTGAATGATCATTTCAATGCAAATGAAATATAATTTTTTTTTACACTGCTGTATTTTTACATTTTTCCAATCAAGCTGAATTGCAATTGCAATCCAACTAGCTGAATTGAGGCTAGTTCTGTAACCTTGAGCAAGGTTACATCTAGAAGGTAGCGCTCCCAACTATACTAGTCATCGATGCTTTTGCTGCATATTTTAAACCTCACGTCCAGCCACTGCAACGTGGCCCTCTGATAAACACTGTCAAAGTTTGTAAATTATAACCACTAGACTTCAAGAAAGTCAGTCAGTAACCAAAATAACACGCATAGCAGCTGACCGATAAGTAACACTTGGAAAATATCTGAATTACTGGTTCTAAATCTGCACAAAGAAATAGACCGCACACACATTATTACTGAACAAACACAAACAAAACTCTTAATATTTTCTGATTATTCCCCAAGGATATACGTGTTTATCCGCTTTATGTTTCCCGTAAACACCCAGCCTAGTGGAATATTTGGACGAGAGCAGCGGCTTACGTAAAACGTGGAATGGGGGCAACACTTTGTCTTTTGATAAATTAAGGAATGATAGGTTCATTATTGGATTCTAAACCTTATAACTCGTGGAAGAGTGGAAGCGTGTTGATCTGGGGGGCATAATAGACCCCGGTTTGAGTCCCGAATAACGATTGAAATATTTATTTAGCACCTACCTAACCAGTTTGCCTGAACCTCCTATTGGTAAACAGCTCGGTACATCACCTTCTAGTGGCCACGAAGCGAGCAACGACACGATTAGATCCTGCAAGATTCCTTTCGCCCAGTTTCAAACGCTAAGGAAAGCTGAGTTCACTAGAGACCTTGAAAAAACGAACATGCAGCTACTTAAAGCCATGGAGGACAGAAGAAAATGTATATATGCTAGTTAGCATTGTAAATGTGTGGCCACATCTGTGGTAGAAGAAAAAAAATTACTTACATACTCATTCAATGATTATAATGGTATTTTCTGTGGTAGTTGACGTTTGGTCTTTGCTTTCTTTCCACTAGCTACTAGCAAAACTGTTTTTATTCCTAGTAAACGACATATTAACTACAGGGATAACCGTACGTATCTTTAGTAAACACCAAACTACCTAAAATCAATGAATGTGTAGTTACAATTTACAGCGTGTAAGCCTCTGAGGTTAGTGTTATCGCTTGCTCGCAGGCTCCTGCAACATGAGTTAATAAACAGGTTAAGCGTTAATCCTCTAAAAGCCACTTTTTTACAGGAATTTATTGTGATATAAAATTGTAGCCAGTCATCAATTTATTATATATACATACACACACACACACACACATATATATATATATATATATATATATATATATATATATATATATATATATATATATATATATATGTGCACCACCTCTGGTGCAATGGTAGGGACCCGTAGCCTCGGAGAAGAAAATAAAATGTACTCAGAGTCAACCTTGCAGACTCTTCCTTAACACTTCAGTACTTTCTTCTATTAGCCAAACTTTTTAATTATATATGCAATACGATTTATCTTGTCACCTAATTGTCAGCTGTATTAGTCAAAAAAAGACTTATTTCGGGCTATAAATGATTTTGTATTTTCTCTTTGGAGACGGTGAGGCAGAATAACATTGCTGAAATTTTTATGACTACACCACACACCAGAAGATGAGGAGACGACGACGTTTCGGTCCGTCCTTGACCATTATCAAGTCGTTTGCTAAGGCGTTTGGGAACGTTTCGCTTTGGGCTAGAGGATGAGTTAGAATGAAATAGTAAAGAAGTAAAATATAAATCAAAATACCGTGACGGAGTTCTCAACATAAGCAGCACATTTGTAGGCATTACACCCGGCCAACATATATAATGCTTTCTACTCTACCTGAATTCTGGTAACGGGGGGTGACCCCGATCCTTGATTGCAAAGTAAAAACATTACTGAGATTTGAATATGACTTGATTCACTTGTTGCAATTTTATTATACTACATAGCCAGCTTTCCAGCGCAATGGCCAACATGAAATTGCATTGGGAGAACTATGTATTCATTAAATGCATAACAGCGTAGCAGCTAACGGTGGGAGAGATTCATATGAAGACTGTTAAAGGGAGAAAGTACATTCAAAGTACACAAAGAGTACCACTGTTTATGTACTTTGAATTCAGTTTAAGCACGTTTCCACAGCCTGCCTGTGTCCCACCGGCTATCGTAAAAACCACATCTATTAACAAATAATATAAGAACGAAATATCATCTTGCTAGTTCGGTTCTAGCGACTCAGACTACAGAACATAGAAACGTACTTTACACAATTCATATATTCGAAATAAAATATCATATGAATGAAGCCTTTTCGCCTAAATATCTACATTTTAAATAGGGTAAATTTATGAAAACTTGTAAATATAATCATGATTAAAATTTTAAGTTATTACATTGCTATAATAACAAATATTTAGATGTCAGTCTTAATTAAACTAAGAGCTTTGTACCACACCTTTTTAGGATTAATTACTTTCCTTCAACTATAATTTTGAGGAAAATAATAATTATTTAAAAAAATTGAATTACAATAATATTATAAAAAGAACAGTAATCTTATAATTTATTTAATATTTTTATCATCGATATTAGTATTATTAAATGTCATTTCTTATTATAATTATTAGTAATAAATGAAGATATTAACATTAGTTTTCGTAGTATCTGCACCAGTGGCACTAGTAACATCACTGCTGTGTTAGCAGCAGTGATAGTTGAACTAGCACAGGCACTACTGACACTAGCAGCAGAACTAATGACACTAGCAGCAGCACTAATGACACTAGCAGCAGCACTACTGACACTAGCAGCAGCATTACTGACACTAGCAGCAGCACTACTGACACTAGCAGCAGCACTAATGACACTAGCAGCAGCACTACTAACACTAGCAGCAGCACTAATGACACTAGCAGCAGCACTACTAACACTAGCAGCAGCACTACTGACACTAGCAGCAGCACTACTGACACTAGCAGCAGCACTACTGACACTAGCAGCAGCATTACTGACACTAGCAGCAGCACTAGTGACACTAGCAACAGCACTACTGACACTAGCAGCAGCACTACTGACACTAGCAGCAGCATTAGTGACACAACTATTTCTATTCTCATCAGCTGCATCTTACTCATCTAAATTCTTATTATAATCATCATCTCTGTCTTCTATTTATCATCCAGCTAAATAAGGATGTGAGTAACTGGATGAGGCTGTCGGCTGAGTCTTCCTATTTTACATATATTATCCTAAACTGCGTCTTATTGTCAGGCTCTGCTCTTAATGGTGACATTCAATATTTATACAGGACCACCTTCCAGGGCCATTTAAGACTTCTTCATGAAAATTAAGACACTTATCCCAGACATTTATACGAACTTTGGCCCGTTTATTGTCTTTCTTATTATATATATATATATATATATATATATATATATATATATATATATATATATATATATATATATATATATATATATATATATATATATATATATTTTATTAAATATGACCGAAAAAGTAAGATTAATAATTCTAACACGAATTTTCTCAATCTTTCGTACATTATGCTTCACTGTTGGAGGTAAATCAAAAATCACTTCTCCAAAATTCATTTTTATTTCTAGTCTGACGCGACACGGGCGCGTTTCGTAAAACTTATTACATTTTCAAAGACTTCACAAATACACAACTGATTAGAACTTGCGTTTCCCTGATTTTATATCTACATTTGAGTGAGGTGGGAAGGGTGATGTGGCATTACATTTGAGTAAGGTGGGAAGGATGATGTGGCATTAGAGGATATTAATAGGGTATTAAAAGTATCAACACAAGACAGAACACGAAACAATGGATATTGAATAGAAGTGTTTGTAGAAAGCCTATTGGTCCATATTTCTTGATGCTTCTATATTGGAGCGGAGTCTTGAGGTGGGTAGAATATAGTTGTGCAATAATTGGCTGTTGATTGCTGGTGTTGACTTCTTGATGTGTAGTGCCTCGCAAACGTCGAGCCGCCTGCTATCGCTGTATCTATCGATGATTTCTGTGTTGTTTACTAGGATTTCTCTGGCGATGGTTTGGTTATGGGAAGAGATTATATGTTCCTTAATGGAGCCCTGTTGTTTATGCATCGTTAAACGCCTAGAAAGAGATGTTGTTGTCTTGCCTATATACTGGGTTTTTTGGAGCTTACAGTCCCCAAGTGGGCATTTGAAGGCATAGACGACGTTAGTCTCTTTTAAAGCGTTCTGTTTCGTGTCTGGAGAGTTTCTCATGAGTAGGCTGGCCGTTTTTCTGGTTTTATAGTAAATCGTCAGTTGTAAATCGTCTTGACGATTTACTATAAAACCAGAAAAACGGCCAGCCTACTCATGAGAAACTCTCCAGACACGAAACAGAACGCTTTAAAAGAGACTAACGTCGTCTATGCCTTCAAATGCCCACTTGGGGACTGTAAGCTCCAAAAAACCCAGTATATAGGCAAGACAACAACATCTCTTTCTAGGCGTTTAACGATGCATAAACAACAGGGCTCCATTAAGGAACATATAATCTCTTCCCATAACCAAACCATCGCCAGAGAAATCCTAGTAAACAACACAGAAATCATCGATAGATACAGCGATAGCAGGCGGCTCGACGTTTGCGAGGCACTACACATCAAGAAGTCAACACCAGCAATCAACAGCCAATTATTGCACAACTATATTCTACCCACCTCAAGACTCCGCTCCAATATAGAAGCATCAAGAAATATGGACCAATAGGCTTTCTACAAACACTTCTATTCAATATCCATTGTTTCGTGTTCTGTCTTGTGTTGATACTTTTAATACCCTATTAATATCCTCTAATGCCACATCATCCTTCCCACCTTACTCAAATGTAATGCCACATCACCCTTCCCACCTCACTCAAATGTAGATATAAAATCAGGGAAACGCAAGTTCTAATCAGTTGTGTATTTGTGAAGTCTTTGAAAATGTAATAAGTTTTACGAAACGCGCCCGTGTCGCGTCAGACTAGAAATAAAAATGAATTTTGGAGAAGTGATTTTTGATTTACCTCCAACAGTGAAGCATAATGTACGAAAGATTGAGAAAATTCGTGTTAGAATTATTAATCTTACTTTTTCGGTCATATTTAATAAAATATGTCTACAGGAAAGACTGCTACCAAAATATACTAATATATATATATATATATATATATATATATATATATATATATATATATATATATATATATATATATATATATATATATGTGTGTGTACATATACGTATATGTGTGTGTGTGTGTGTGTGAGTAATATATGTTTAGACACTCATTCTATTCGCCATGTACACAGAGATTGACATATTTTGTTATATTGAATCTAGCTTATAGGAGTTCGAACGTAATCGACATTCACGACTACAAGCTCTCTTATAACAAGTAGAAATGAACGGAAACATTCCGTTCCTTCATCGCAGATGTGATCTACGGTAAATTTCTAGTCGTATTAAGAGCTTTATTCCTTATCAATGCTAAGTCTTTGAAGAGCAGACGGCCTGCTTCCTGTTCGAGAGAACCGTGTTTCGAGCTCGAGTTGAACTCGTCACTTGTTTTCGTTCATTACTTACTGGTACTGAATGCATTTGTTAATTAAAATCTATTTAATATATTGTATCCAGTTCTTTAGCGTGTTGAAAACACAATAATTTCTCTCATTGCCCTCTGCGTGATCATTTCCGCGAACAAGGATCTCTATATCGCCTCTGGACATAGATTTGCCCCGTTTAGTCCCGTTCCTTCCCAAGAGCACAACACTAGTGGGGAAGACAATCAAATCTCAGTCGATGGCCCCCAATGGACGGTGGATAAAACCTTGCGTTCCAGGTTCACGATAATTCCACCTGTTTTTCCGCTCGGGTTTGCCCGATTTATCTGAAGGTAAACAAAGCCATTTCATTACTGCGGAATGTTCGGAATTGCTTTTTATTATAAAATTTCCGATTCGTGTTCCACGATTTGGCGTAAAGGGGCCAATTTTTTCCTTTTGTATATGTACAGCTGAAACGACGTTATGCCGGTGTTGTCGAAATATTTGCCAGTTTTGTGGTGTTCTGATGTCGCATTCTCGAGTATAATTTTCACTAAGTTTTCGCATTAACTGTGTATGTTTATGTATTCTGGCACCCCGTCTCTCTCATCTCTCTCTCCCTCTCTTTCTCTGTCTCTCTCTCTCTCTCTCTCTCTCTCTCTCTCTCTCTCTCTCTCTCTCTCTCTCTCTCTCTCTCTCTCTCTCTCTCTCTCTCTCTCTCTCTCATAGTCTCACTCTTTATATATTTTTTCTCTTGCATTGTTTTTTCCTCTCATTTAGTCTTCATAATGGACCAGCAGCATCACCGCCGCCCCACACTTTGTATTTTATCTCCCAATGGAATCAGTGAGGAAGAATGGTACACACACACACAAATTTTATCTACAATATAATGTGAGAAAACGCATGACCACGAAGAGAGTTACTTGGGTAATAAAGACCAAGGCAAACTAAGGGGGAAAAGAACCCAAATGTGTGGTGGCAGGTGCTGGAGCTGATTATTGCTTGGTCAATACGAACCCACTGGACTCTTGCAGCAGTTATCACTTACCCTCGCTACCACCACCCATTCCTTACAGATCCTATCTCTCTCTCTCTCTCTCTCTCTCTCTCTCTCTCTCTCTCTCTCTCTCTCTCTCTCTCTCTCTCTCTCTCCAAGCACTCTCTCATATTACCTCCTTTATAGCCACTCCCACATCCCGTCCTTAAAGCACTTCTCTCGAAGCCACTCCTTCCCTCCTCCCTCTCTTCCCTTCATTGCTTCACTGTCCTACCCTCAAACCTATTAAATCCTTCCTCCGTCCCTCCCCCTCCCCCTTTTTACCCACATCTCACAGCACCTTTCCTTACCTTGAGGTGCTTCCGGGGCTTAGCATCCCCACGGCCCAGTCGTCGACCAGACCTTCCTTGCACATCGCGCCCCCTCACTGCCCCTCCTTCAGGAGGTAATCTACAGGGTTATGAGGCCAGAAAAGACCTCAAGACATACCAGACCAAAATAAAAGTTTACTGCCAGAATTATTTTCTCAGCAGAGTTGGAGTTGGATTTGCTAATTAGTGTAGTTTTTCCTTCATATTTTACAAAAAACACAACCTAAACTAATTGTTTCAACCTCTGTAAGAGAAATAATATTTTTTATTCAACTGCCTTTTATAAAAATTCCTTTGATAGAATTACAATGGATTTTGTTGTCTCAAATTTAATGCAGCGCTGCAATTGTGAGCTGACACATGAGATCAAAAGCCGTCACATGAGATTAAAAGCTGTCATATGAGATTATTAATAAGCCGAACCATGATGTCAAGAGGTGTCACGTGAGCTTAAAAGCTGTCACATAAGATCAAAAGTCGTCACTCGATATCAAAGGCCGTCACTCGATATCAAAAGCCGTCACTCGATATCAAAAGCGTCACACGTGATCAAAAGCCGTCACACGTGATCAAAAGCCGTCACACGTGATCAAAAGCCGTCACACGTGATCAAAAGCCGTCACACGTGATCAAAAGCCGTCACACGTGATCAAAAGCCGTCACACGTGATCAAAAGCCGTCACACGTGATCAAAAGCCGTCACATAAGATGAAAGTTAACCCGGAAAATCGTTGATTGCAAATAGTAGTAACGCCAAGAAAATAGTAAACGACATATGACTGAATATTGTATCTGCTAAACTGAAAAGATTTGAGATTGAATTCCACTAAGCGCCATCACATGCTGCTACCTCTAAACATGATACTGTTGAGAGGATTGCAAAAACAGCAAGAAGCAAACCAGGACAGAAACTAACGAAGGTACTTTATTAGCCCTGGCAGAGGTATATGTTCGATGTCTCTCTCATTGATCAAGCAAATAAAGCCTGAGAGCTGTAACGTTAAACACTGATGAATACCACATGTAGTTTATATATAATAGATATAATTCCCGTTATCGGGCACAGGAAGCCTGTACTTAGACTTCCTGAGGTCACATTTAGGTCAACTATTGTCCTGCTCCAGGATGCAAGCCACAACAGTTGCCTAACTCTTACATCTACGTAAACATCTGATGAAAG